TATATATATATATATTTGTGTGTGTGCCTCTCTCTTGCTCTCTCTAATGCGTGCTAGAAAATTCACTGCGGTAGAGTAACAAATTATCGTCTTAGCGTTGTACAAGAATCCAACATCATTAGGGACGTACAAAATTTTTACGTGAAAAACCCCAAAAGGAAGAAAACTATGTGGTCTTTCCTAGTTGAAATATTCCACTATGAGTTAGTGATTACAAATACGTCTTGTTTTCCCATAGGTTAGAAAGGGTTATGCAGTTTCTTGGGTTACAATATTGATACACGAAAGAACTTGTTCTCCCATGGTAGGGAGCAATCGTAGTGGGGGGTGACTATTAGAGCTTCAGTACATTGTCTTCGGAGTAGGCATAATGTTTGGAATGGTGTGTTGCGTCGTAAATTGCTACGTGATTCAGTGGTGTTTTGCACAGTGTTTCGTCGTAAGGAGACGGTGATATCTGATGGTGGTTGACAGTGGCCGACGAAAAAAGCTAACCAATGGCTTCAGTCGAAGCTGGCTAGAGGCGGTGACAGCTGTTGTAGCTGTTGTAGGTGGCGGTGGCCAAAGTTTGTCGGTGGTGGTGGCCAGTGATGGCCGGAGTTGGCGGTGGCGATTGCCGAAGCGGTAGTGAGGCGGGGTGGTGCCAGGTGAGCTGCATGAGATGAATGAGTGGAACTTACATTATTAAGAAGGTCAGCGTGTCGACTTATTATGTGAAGAGTTCCATGGTGGAGAGGAGACCCTGTATGAGTATGTTTGAGCGGGGCATTTATGTCAACTGATGAGCTGGTGGAAAGTAAGCTTCATTAAGCGGTGTGGGCAACTGGTGTCAAGAGACTCCTCCATCTTGCGCACTCGGTCTTCTACAGAAGAACTTGAGATGCCTTTGTTGGTAAAGTAGCACCTTTGAGGGTGAGAAGATGTGGAGACCTAATGCACTTGGCCTCATGACTGTCCCGTGGAATGATAAGCGTTGGAGTGGGATGCTTCGTTTTTATGAGTATTTTGTGTGGTAGTCATGCAATAAAGTTCACAATTACCTTAATGGTGGGATTGCCTGATTCTCACATACAACGCCAAACTGGCTCGTTTCGGAAGGTTTACATCAGTAAAGCAATGAATTATCGTCTGAACATTGCATGAAGATCCAATATACACTTATGTAATTAAGGAAAAATAATCGGAAAGAAACACCTCTACGTTTTAATGGAATCCATCAAAAAAATATAAAGGGTTAACATTAACCCAATCCCTCCACTAAAATTACATACTCTCAATAAAAAAGAAAATTTATAATTTTGATTAAGGGCATTTACCTACATAAAACCCAATTCAATGCACTCACATATCTAATACCTAAACTTTTCTTTTTTACATTTATACCACCTAACCTATCATATCCTATAAAAAAATCATTATTTTAATTTAAAAAAAAAATCAAATTCATCTTTTTATGCATAAGTAAGATAACATATACAATAATTAAAACTTAAATGTCAGATATGCAAATACATAGGAATGAAGCATATATGTATAAATCTCCCTTTTTATTATGCCACAAATATAACTCGAGATTTTTCGAACTAAACTTAGGCTCCATTTGAGTTCAGTTCTGATTTCATAAAACCAATTTTTTATCATTTTAGAACTCTAATAACAAACCTTATTAGAATACGGATCACAAATTATAAGCTTGACAAAGCCCTCTGCAGGGCATTCGTGGTCTCTGAAGATAGAGAACAATTTGCATACAAAAGATGCACGCAGTGTTGTGTATATCAGGGAGGTTATTCAACAGATATTGGGTAAATCTCCCTTTTTATTATGCCACAAATATAACTCTAGATTTTTCAAACTAAACTTAGGCTCCATATGAGTTCATTTCTGATTTCATAAAACCAATTTTTTACCATTTTAGAACTCTAATAACAAACCTTATTAGAATTCGGATCACAAATTATAAGCTTGACAAAGCCCTCTGCAGGGTCTCTGAAGATAGAGAAAAATTTGCATACGAAAGATGCACGCAGTGTTGTGTATATTGGAGGGTTATATCATACCCTCTGTAACATTCATGTAATCTACCTGTATATTCTAGTAAATTCAGCACTCCTATTTTCATATATTTATAGGAAATATAACTCCTCAATATCCTCTGAATAACACCTAACTTAAGCACTGCGGGGTACTTTGGTAAATTTTTGTTATCGCTGGTGTTCCCTTGTCGTTAGACGAAGGTCTTGGGTGTATTTACCTTCCGCTGGTTCGGCTCGGCTCGCGCGAAATTGAACCGTTAGAATCGAAGCGTGCTGCTCTGCACAAAACAACCATATTTGACAAGAAACGAAAGGTACTGACAGTAAACGAAATTCTCTCTCCCTCCCTCTTTCTCTCTCTCCCTCTCTCGTAATCCTTAGTCGGATGGGTGGACCGCTCACTCTCATAGTCTCACTGCATTGATTTTTTCCTTCTTTTCGCCGCTGCCTCCATTAATCTATCTATATAAGCCGAGGGGACGCAGCAGAGCAATGGCTGTGAGCGCGCGCATCCAATCTCTTCCCTTCTAACCCTTCCCTTCCTGATGGGTCTCTTCCATTTTCAATCAAGGGGGAAGATTTACAAACCTGCAGCAGAGATCAATCTCAGAGCCGACAGTGATGAACCCTACACCCATGCCAATGTCAAAGGTTCTTTGCTCAGATTTGATGATTACGGCATTTAAATTTCAGTTCTAATCTGAAACTTTCATGGGTTTTTGGTGCTTTAGCTCCTCGGGTTGCAGGATTTCTTGTAAAGATCTTCGTCTGGATCTTAGAATCTTGGATAATAGGTCCTGCTGTTCTGTATATTCTGAAGAAGGATAATCTTGTGCACAAGGTATTTGTTGAAATTCGATTTGGAAGATTGTTTGCTGTGGCTAATCCTCGGTTCTCTCTATCATGAATTGATTTTGATTTTTTTTTCTTTAACTGTATATCATAAAAACTATGGTTTTAAATTTTAGAGTTGAATTAATTATGCCCGCATATTCACCCAGATTCTTCTTTCGGCATCTATAGATGACAAAAAGCCGGCATAAATTTTAGTCTAGATGTCTTCTTATGTATCTGAAACCTTTTAAAAAACCTTTTTTTATGCATAATTTGGTTTTCCTTTTTATTTTTATTTTTTTTTATTTTTTTTTTTTTTTTTTTTTTTTTTTTTTTTTTTTTTTTTTTTTTTTTGTGAAATTGAAACTATCCTCAAATGTCTAGTTTCTGGTGGACTAAATTCCAAATTTATTTTAATTATTTTTATATTGGCGCAGGCTCCATATGTGATTTCTGAGTTTTTTATTGTTTTGGTTCTCATTTGTATTTAAACACAGACTAAGTTTTAAGTTTGCCAGATTTTCTATGTGTTTTTTTCTCTTTGGCGCCAACCATGTATATTGTTTCATTTACAGAGCTCAAGATTGGCCTATATGACGGAAAATATTTGCGTACATAAGACATACGCAGCGCTGCGTACGTGAGGGGTTATTCAGGGGGTGCAGGGGGGTTATATCCGGGTTATACCCCTTTGTAATCTCCGTGTAACTCCCTTGTAACCTCCGTGTAACTTATTTGTACCCATGAAACTACAGAAACGCGGAATTCATTTGTAGGTTACAGTTAGTTTACAAAGAGGTTACAACGGGGTTACAGAGCCCTTGTACTGCGTACGTCTTATGTACACAAATATTTTCCCTATATGACAGCAAGAAATATTACTGAATTCATTTATTTGTTCGTTGCTTTTTAATTTGAAATTTGATGGATTGCATTATGCAAACATTTTTTTTTTATGTTCACTGATTTGTCAATTCTTTTTTGTACTAATTTCCGAACATACTTGCAGAGCTCTGCCAAAAAAGAAACATCACTTTCAGAATTAGGCATCAGATGATAAAATTAATCACTAATAACAATCGATTCCTCATTTTTTTCAGAAGCACAATTTATTTTGGACTGAGATTATGAAAAATGAAAGTTTCAACAGGAGATGTCGTTTTTCTTTTCATATTTTCCTAATTTCGATCGCCAACCTTTTCTTTTTAAATGATTATCTAACAATAATACAAACAAGTGAAGTTTTATTATTTGATTTCAATCTTCTGCAGCTTGTATCATTTGCAGAAATACCAGAATCACCCATGTTCACGGCCACTCATAGTACAGAAGGTTTGAATGTCAAATTTATATAATTCATTAGGATTATGCTCCATAAATAAGAATCTGTTTATGGCTCCTCACATACTTAGACAAAAGCCAATTACTACCTATTATTTCAGGTCTTCATGAACAAGAGGTAACTTGCATTGATCCAAATCTGAGTCCTCCTGAACGACTTAAAGAAGCCATGGATTGTCTTCCAGCAAGTCTAGAGACCACTTTAGAGACTGGTTTCAAGCGCTGGACTATTCAGGATTTCTCTAGAGCTTATAGTTCTGGAGAAACCACCCCTATCAAGGTACGTCCATCCCAGAATAAGAATTTGTGTTTCGATAATTTTCCAATGACTACAGTAATTAAGATGTTTTCAAATTTATTCATCTTTAGCATGACTAATAGTGGTGGAATCAGAGAAGGCCTATAGTTTTGTTCTCATCGCCCTTAAGATTTATCTTGTGATGCCCATTCATTTGAAATCTTGAGTCCGCCGCATCCTTCATAGTTATTACATATTTGAAAAACTTATTTAATGTTTACTTAGTATTTTTTAATGTTTCTCATAGTAATTAGTGGTTATGTTTAGCTTCACAGCTGAAACTCAAGAGAAAAACAATTAGGAAGATTTACATGCCTATCACTCAATTCCTATGTATTTATATTTCTAACATATATGCCACCTTACTAAGCATGAAAAGGTGTATTTCAGTTTTTAAAAGCTAAAAATAGCGGTATTTTTGATGTGATATGAAAGATTTAGTTGGAAGAAATGTAAAAAACAAAATTTTAGGTGTTTGATAATTAAAAAAATTGCAATTAGGTGGTATGTATGTAAATGCTCTGAAATAGTTATTAAGGAAGGGACTCGGTTTAGAGCAAGCTTCTTAGATCAGATTCTTTCCCTCATTTTCATTAATGGAAAATAGTTACATGACGACATTGTGAAAGCTTAATGAGGTACTTTGCAGGTAGCGAAGAGATTTTTAGCTGCTCTTGAGGAGTCCACTGCTCCTCACCTTCAAATGTCTTTCTTCATTGCTTATGATGCTCAAGAAATTTTAAAGCAAGCCACAGAATCAACACTTAGATATGAAAAAGGTAAATATATTAACCCTCAATTCAGCATTACAGTTGGTACTAAGCTGATTTTTATTATTGCTCATTTGGTTGCTTCAACTTCAGTCTAATTTCTATTCTACTAAAACCTTCTAACTTCTCTTAAAGTAGTGATTTTATTTACATACATAGAATTACTGAATAATAAATCATCTTTCTTTTAATATCATATTTTATATGTACAAGCAGCCAAATGAGCCCTTAAATCTTAGATAAGTTAACTAGATGCATTATTGATTTTTAAAACTACACTCTTTTGTTTTTTTTAACTGCAATCTTAAAAGATCCCTTTAAAATATTTTTTTGTGATTTTGAAACGTGTAAATCATATTTGATATTTTCTTGCATCCAAAGCTCGTGACCTTTCTATATAAGGTTAGGCATGCAAAGTTGCAGAATGAGTATGGTCACCCAAGCTTTTTGTTGTTTGCCATTTCGTGTTGAGCTCATTTCAAACTCCATCATGACCCTAATAAATTTATGAAAAATATGTTTGGGGTCCACATTCTTTTGGAACAATATTTATTGGTCCACCTAAACACTTGAGTAATAGCATTGTTGCGGGATTTAGCATTTCTCCTACATTAATGGTCAGATAACAAAAAAATTCAAACAAAACTTTAAAAATAACATGATGTCAACATTTAATTTCTAAACAAAGGAAAAAAGAACTGTTATAAGCTAAATGGTTAGATTGAAGTGTCCATGGAAAAATAAGAGGCCTCAAAGGATTTTACAAAATATTAGTTGTTGGAGTATTATGTTTTTTTCATGGACGGGTCGGACATAAAGCAATTGTGCATTTATCAAGGAAAAAACATTGCTTATGGATCAATATTTTGAATAAATTGCATTGAAGGTACACAGAATTATAGCCAGTTATACATAGAAGGAGCATATAGTTAACGCAACTTAGCATGCTTCTTTACGAAACTCAAACAAGTAAAATTCCACAATTATCAAGAAAACACATAGTAATAACTAGCAGTTGCAACTATAAGGAGCACATAATTAATGCTACATAGAGAGAGCAGATTAAATTGCAAAAACTATCGATATCCATAAAAAAAAGGTAAAAAAAAAACCAGACACTTCGCACATCTTAGAGCAGTTTAAATTTTTGTTCATAAAAAAATGTGGTGTTTGCACCTCTGGATGCCCTTTCTAAACAAGTGAAAAAATGTTGAAATACTTTCGCGTATTTTTTTTTTGGGCAATTTACGCACATACCACCCACTTCCTATGTGTTCACATATCTAACACCTAAACTTTAATTTTAACATTCATACCAACAATCTTTCATATCACGTCATAAATATCAATATTTTAATTTTTAAAAAGTGAAATGCACCTATTCATGCATAGGTAAGGTTGTATGTACGTAAAAAAATTTAAATTTAGGTGTTAAATACATAAATATATAATAATTAATTGGTATGTATGTAAATTTTCCTTTTTTTTATTATCAAATTGACATAGAATTTGGTTCCTTGAAGAATTATGAGAAATGACCTCCCTACCTGTGTTCTCTCACCAGGAACTCCTATTTCAGTACTGGATGGAGTTCTAATTGCTGTTAAAGATGAGATAGATTGCATGCCCTATCCTACTACTGGTATTCTGCAACTTCTTGTTTTATCATTTCTTTTGTTTTATTTTATTTTCTTTGCATGTTTAATTGTTTCTGTGCTATAGTTTTCTTATGCAACTGGTGCGTGCAGGAGGAACCAAATGGCTACACAAGGCAAGGCCATGCACTGAGGATGCAGCCTGCATCAAGAAATTAAGATCTTGCGGTGCTATATTTGTTGGTAAGACGAACATGCACGAACTTGGAGCTGGGACTAGTGGTATTAACCCTCACTATGGGTAAGCTATGATTTCTTTTGCCATTAAGTTTAGCCATCCTATTAAATTTATGAATTATATAGTTGGTCTTTTTAATCTATTACAGCCCAACGAGAAACCCTTACAACATTAATAGGGTTTCAGGAGGCTCCTCGAGTGGCTCAGCAGCTACTGTGTGCGCTGGACTTTGTCCAGTTGCACTTGGTGTTGATGGTGGAGGTATAAATTTTTATTGGTGTATAAATGATTCAACTTAAAAAGAACCTCTTTTTTTTATAATGTCATGATTATGGAATATCAATTATGTTTTGAATAGTTGGAGAGTGAAGACCATGAGAATGGAAAAAAAAATAATTTACAAGAAATACACCACAAAAGAATCATGAAAATTTACATGGTTTAGCTAGATCCATCTTCTTTCACAACTGCATAGAGAGATAAAGGTTCACTATTCCAAAAATAAAAATGAAATATAAATATTTTTTTCTTAGCCTTAAGCTCTCTAGTATTCTTCCATATTTGTCTTATTCCCTCTACAAAGCCTAAACATCCTCCACCGACCATCCTATCAATCATTGGCCCTCATGATAGTCGCCAGTTTTCTCATTTAAAAGCCTTTGAAATATAGCTTTCGTCTCGCCCTCTATGAAGAAATCCTTCTGTATGATAACATCCATGATAACTATCAACTTTTGAGCACTTTCACGACCTTCTCCTCTACTCATGGTTGAATGAACAAGAAGAATGAGTAATTTCATGCAACCATTAATCTTCTCTTATTAAAGAAAGCAACATGTGGTGGTTAGTATGAAGAACTATGAATGCATAGTATTCTGATTTTGGTCTCCAACAATCTTAAGATATGAAAAGCAAAAGTAATCTAAAATTGTGAGATCAAAGTGGCAAAGGGAGATTGGACTTCCACCCCTCAAGTGAAATTCTAATCATTAGATACCACTTGGTTTTTAGGCCTATGACATTAGATTTTCATTTTTTCCCCTCAATATGGCAATTTGAAGTTTCCTTTACCTTGATGACAAAATAACTCAAAAATAAAAAATTCTCGAGTTTGGCAATCACTGTTTAAATTTTTGTTGGGGCATTTACATACATACCGTCCAATTTTTATGTATTTACATATCTAACACCTAAATTTGCATTGTACATTTATACCATGAAAATATTTCATATCACATAAAAATACAACCATTTTAATTACTAAAAAATGAAATAATACCTTTTCATGCATGGATAAGGTGGCATGTATCTAAAAATTGAAGCTTAGGTTTTAGATATGTAAATACATAGGAATTGAGTGTTATGTATATAAAGCTTCCTTAATTTTAATCATTACACCAAAGACATGCTCATGTCTACTTATTGCTTATATAATGCCTCGTTACTTTTACCAGCTTGAAAAGTATGTTGTCAGAGGAATAAATTGCGAAAAATAGCATCATACCAATCATTATATTACTTAGTTAGCCTTCTGATAAACTTTTAATTGAATGCATCTCATACATATATCCCCGTTATCTATCTTGAATAAGGTTCTGTGCGTATGCCTGCCGCTCTTTGTGGAGTTGTTGGTTTCAAACCAACATCAGGGCGTTTTCCAACCTCAGGGTTAGTAAATTCTTTGTTCCTCATAAGCACATGCTATTCTTATGAGCAACCAAGAGGTTAAACCAACATTAAATCACGTTTCATTTTCAGGGTTATTCCTCTAAATTGGACCGTTGGAATACCAGGCATCCTTGCAGGAACCGTCGAGGATGTTCTTATTGTGTTAGTGATATTCTTCCCTGCATTTTTCTTTTGTTTAAACAAATTCTTTGACCTTATTGATTCTGGAATGATAGCATATTTAAGTCTTAAACACCAAAAATATTTCTTTATTTCAGTTATGCAGCTATTGCGAATGATGTTGCTATGTTCCGACCCAAATCACTACAGGTGAGAAAATATAAACCCAATTTTCACTTATCTCAGCAACTCAAGATTTTACTCATTTTGCCTTTAATCTAAATCAAGTAGATAATTAAGTCACATGCGGAAGGACATTGTGTATTTGTAATAGGGGTGCAAACAAGCCAAGTTGAGCTCAAAGTTAGAGCATCATTGATTAATAGAGTTTGAGCTTAATTATAGAAGTTCAAGCTTGTCATTATGCAAGAGAAACAATATTAATTTAAGCTTTAATAAAATAACTAAAAGAATGAGTATTTAGGAGATAGTTTATATAAATCACTTGATATAAAGTGTAAAATATCATTTTTAAGCATTTTTATTAAGTTAAAGATAAATTCTTTAATTTTAATGTATTTTGAGTGTATTTAATATTATTATCATTATTATTATTATTATTGTTTTAAAACAAGCCAACTTACGAGCTAACGAGTTGAGACAGGGCTAGTTTGAGCTTAACTTGTTAGCCAATCGAGCTAAGTTCATGAGACAATTGTCAAACTGAGCCAAAGCCAGCTCATGATCCAGCTTGGCTCCGCTACACCCCTAATTTGTAATTCTCTCAAGTGTACTGATATATTTTTCTAGAATCTAATGCTCATTTCAGTCATGTTCTGATAACTCTATTTCCTACTTTGATGTAATCATCTCTATATTTTCATTATTTGTTTGTTTGGGACAGCCTGAATTCAATCTTCCCCAACTAAAATCTTCACACTTGCTGGCTAACCTTAAGTTTGCCAAGTATAGAAAGGTCAGTAGCAGAACATATATAGCTGTTTCATGGTTCTTCCATAAATGTTCTAGTCTACCAATTAACTCTTCCTTACATGTGCTAGCAGAGTAAAAACATATATTTTCTGGTTTTTAAAAACTTTTTTGGTAAAACAGTGGTTTAATGACTCCTCAGCTGATATTCAAAGTTGTTGTGATAATGCATTACAGTTGCTATCCAAGCATTATGGATGGAAGGTAATATTTCTTCTGAAAAGATGCAGTTTTGTCTTTATTCAATTAAGTTAAATCAACATACAATTTCTAGTATGTAATAGTTGAATAACTCGTGAATAAAATGTGTATTGATTTATGTAATAATACATTATTTGTGGGGTATGAATCTGTATATTAAGCATTCAAACTCAAAGCATATGTTGTTATGTGCAAGACTGTGGATGTGACCATACCGGAGATAGAAGAAATGCGCCTTGCCCATTATGTGACTATTGGATCCGAAAGCACTACTTATTTAGCTACTCACCTTGAGAACATGTATGTAGCTACATGCTTTCCTAAATTAAAATTAGTTTTACAATAGAAACTTTTATTAATCTTCATGTGATTTTAGAAGCCATGGGGAGTTGGGTTGGGACGCTAGAGTTGCTCTTAAAGTATATGGCTCATTTAGCAGCAGAGATTATCTCAATGCACAGAGAATAAGGTAAAATACTGCTTTCTGTTCTGTATGACGACCTCATTAAAATTTTATAAAACAAGATTACAGTTTGATCATTGTTTTCTGTCTATAATTTTGGTAAATTTGAAATTTATTGCTAATTTTTACATTTCACCCTTAATTTTCTCAAGGAATCGTCAGATGCAATTCCATAAGGAAATTTTTAAAAGCGCAGATGTTATTGTCACACCTACAACCGGGTATTAAGCTTGAATCCTGCTTTCCTATTACAAAACAGGGGCATTTACAGACGTAGCCCACAATTCTAATTTACTGACATATCTCACACCTAAACTTGCATATTTACGCACACAGCATTCAAATCTTTAATATCACATCAAAAGCACTATTAGCTTTTTTTTTTAAATAGGTTTAAAGCACGAAAGTGCTATGCATGTAAATTTGAAAGTTTAGGTGTAAGATATGTAAATGCATAGGAATTGTGTGCACCGTATGTAAATTTCCCTACTACAAATTATTATTTAAATTGGCTTTCAAACATGAAAACTAAGAAATGTCCTTAACTTTTTTATATTTAAACAATAGTGTGACTGCTTATCCGCTTCAAAGAGATGCTTTCAGCACTGGGGAGCTTGACTACATAAATGGAGGTGTATTGAATTTCAAATGAATTAATGTTTGCATTTTCTTCTATTAAAGTTATCCATGTAAATACATTTGTAGTATTTAATTGAACTAAAAATATGGTGGTTCTTTGTTTATTTATATACTTTTGGCAGCTGCGCTTGTAAGATTCTCAATAGCTGGAAATTTTCTAGGGCTGCCGGCTATTACTATCTTGGTAAGGACCATTAAGACACATGAGATAAGTTAAGACCCATATAAAATATGTTATTGTAGAAACATAAGTGGTAGACTCATGCCTATAAACTAAGAGGCCAATTGAGAACACTTTTATTTTATATTTTGTATTTTCTTTTGTCTATGTTCTAATTTGAAATAAAACACATTTGAATATTTGATTAAATGATAAATAACAATCAAAGCATCTAAAAGCTATTTTGATTATTTTCAAAAACCTGTTAATTTATTTTTAAAATTATAAAAAGAAAAATATATAAAAAATATAATAAACAAACATATTTTTAAAAAATAAAAGAAAAAATAGCAAAAACAATAAATAAAATTAATCCCAATTAAATTCTCAAGCTTTTGGATTAAAAATGAGTTACAACTTTGTTGATTCACATTCCCTAACACACACACACACACACAAACACACCTGCTTTCTTTTTATTTAGAACAAGTGATTTAATCAGTTAAAAGTTAAACTTGTGTTTTTAATAGGCTGGATATGACACTTCAGGCATGCCAATAGGCTTGCAATTTATTGGGAAGCCTTGGTCTGAAGCTACTTTGCTCCACCTTGCTTATGCGGTGCAGGTAATTGAACCAAAGCTTCTGTTATGGATTAATTTTGGATTCTCTTTATGGAGAAATTTTTCCATACGAAGTACGTACGCTGCTCTGCGTGCGGATTTCCAGTAATATGCCATCAAGTGGAGGTTATTGTGGATTTATTGACGTAAAACCGCAAAGGTATTGGGTGTTTATTGGGATGTTAGTGTGGGGGTTATTGAAATAGAACCACGAAGGTTATTGGAGTGGAACGACGGAGGTTATTGAGGCTTTATTGGAGTTAATGCCCTAATAACCCTCAATAACCCTCCCAAATAACCTCTGCGGTTCCACTTTTATTTTTTTTTAGGTGGGTCTGATATAACACATATGATGGCATATTACTGGAGTCCGCACGAAAACCTTGATACGTACTCCATATGGAAAAATTTCTCCTCTTTATCGATTTGGAGAGACAAAAGTTAAATATTCTTGGCCTTTGCTCTTCTAGCTTTTATTATATTCTATTTGTTATCAGGGTTCACCCAAGCAAATAATAGATTGCAATTAGGGTAGCTATATAGTATGGAACTGAGCCTTTGGTGGTAAAGTCACTTAATAGGCAAATTATCCGTAGTAGATGAATATAATTTTAAGATGCGTATGACCAAACAAGTTAAACTAGACCTTAATAGCTTAAACAAAATTGCATCCTGCAGCTTAAAGGTTACCAAGAAACTTTTCATTAAATTTCCTTTCCATACTAATGCCTGACAAGAGTTAGATCTGCTATATGCAATTTTGTGGTGCTATAACTTATTCCAGAAATTAGATGTCAATAAATATTAAATATTAGGCAGTTGTTTGTGCCTAACAGACTATGTATATATAATTACCTTCTCTATTTTTGGAAGGTTGCAGAATACTGAAATTAAGCTGCTCTTAATGTCAGAAACTAATAATGTGATATTCTTTTACAGGCTTTGTTAATTCACAGCTACCGAAAGCCAGAGGTGTTTTATGATCTGCTGAAAACTGAATAGATAAAAAGTTAATAAATGTCAAAATAATACTTTGGGACTGAAATTGCTCCCTTTAAAGAATCCGGGGACCATTTTGAGACATTTCTCGATAAATGTTGATAGCATAAAAGGCAATAAAATACATTTACATGCTAATAGTTGGGTCAAAAGGGTGTCCAATAATCAATACCAGAAGAGCAATTCTGTTACTGCTATATGAAGTCAAAATGGTTGTTCTAGCTTGAAAACATCACATTATGTGTAAGTAAGGTGTACCCAAAAAAAACAAAAAAATGAGACTACTCAAAAGTTGTTTGTTGATTTTTCAGAAATTACTGTCCTTTTTTTCTTCTTCAGTGCTTTCCAGCTAAGAGTTTTAGTTTGCGCTGTCATATTTTATAAGGATGATTTACATTCATAGCACTCCATTCTTATGTATTTACATATCTGACATCTAAATTTTAATTTTTACATATATCTGTCACCTTACCTACACAGGAAAAGTTTATCATATTTTAAAAGTTAAAAGTGATATTTCTTATGCTATATGAAAAATTTGTGGTATAAATGTAAAAAGCAAAATTTAGTTGTTAGAAATGTAAATATATAGCAATTGGGTGGTATGTATGTAAATGCCCCTATTTTAACTGCTGAGATGAATCAGCAAACCACAGATTATAGATAAATGGTGGATTAAAGATAACATGCAAAAAAAAAAGCCTGAAAACAAATTCATAAATTATAGTTAGCCTGATAAGCAACACCCAATAGAGCAGAATGGCAAAGAATGATCCAATAAATTATAAATGACAGATGATGGTTATGATGTCATTATTTACACCAGCAGCTGTCGCATCAATTATATACAGGTAATATGCATCTTAAGAGAATCAATTTTATTCTTATTTAATTTTTGAAAAAAAAAATTTATGCATTTTTATTTATTATTTGAAAAAAAAAATCAAATCTAGATGTTTGAAAGCACTAGAATTAATTTTGATATGTTTTGAGTGTTTTTAAGAATGAAAAATCATCGTCAGTCATCATCACCATCATTACTACCTTTGCATAAATCAACCTTTTTGATATTTTATAAAAATAAAAATAAAAATGGTTATAAAAAACTTGTCAGCACAAAAAAATTTTAGGAAGCAACAAAAATGTATTAGCTAAGCAGAAGCATAACAACTGCCTAAAAAGCAAAGCTGTAAAAAAGCTACCCCAAATGAATCCTTAATTAATTTCTAAAGCAGTTTTTGTTGGTACTTCTAGTAGCAGCAGCAAGAGGAAGAAGCTGGAAAAACCTACAGTGCAAGAAAATGGTGAAAAGAACCCTTCTAAGCTGCAGCTATGTTTTCATTCATCACTTTGGTTCAGTTATGACTCTTAAAAGTTCATATTTATACTTGAAAAGCTTAAGGATTCCTTAACATATTAATCAATGATGCTCAGAAGCTAAAATTAGTGCAATCCATGCATCCCATTGTAAAACTGGTAAAGCAGAAAGCATGAAAAAGTATTCCCCAATTTTCTGCTAGGATTTCATCAAAAATCTTCGAGTCCGGACAGATCCAATAATCTGTGTAAGAGAGTAAAATAAAGTATTTGGATCTACCATACTTAATTAAAAAATGAACAAAATGCATGAGAAAAACGAATTTCCTTTTTGAAATTTTCTTTTTGAAACTGTATTAATTTCTCTTGTTGGGAGACTTGAATGTCACCTATTATCAATTGCACATCTAGTTAGTTAGCAATGAAATTAAGCAAGAGAAATGTTGCTAAGGAAAAAATTGGCAAGCTATCAAGGAAAAAGTTGGCAAGCTATGCATTGATGAATTCATAAGAGAAACTTAAAATCACATCATCATGGGCAGGCAAACAATAACAAAGGGAGAATACGTGTTGACATCAATTAAGTTCGTGAAGCCTTTCATAAGGAGTCTCAGCTACACATAATGCCATTGTCTTATTTGTCCCAATAGCCGTGTACATTATGTCAAATTTCCTCAATACTTCTCTAACAACTACCAAATTAAAATGCACTCAGAAGATGAAGAAAAAACTAGATTTATCATTGATAGAGTTTTTTCTTGCTACAAAGTTATGCCATTCTATCTAATGAATATTGAGGTGACATAGTAAGAGGCCATCTAAGAATAGATACGAGCATGATTTATACTTAAAACTTGCCAAATAGTCCAAATAGAAAAATTAAATTCTACGGAATCTTAAATCCCCTAATTTATCTTTGTTTCAGTCTATATCCTGGATTTACAAATTTGAGAGTTCGACGGATTTAAGGATTTAAAGTGCTAATATACAAGAAAGACGAGGGTACACCTTCACCTGCAAGCATCTGTTGTCACAACTTCCTCACTTCTTTGTCCTCGAAAACTTTGGGTTGAAGAGGAGGCAAGAGAAAGGCATGGGTTTCGAATGAGAACCATTTCCACCATAAAAAATTTAGATACTATGTAGATGTGATGATTTCAGGATTGTTAAACTAAGCGAAAGTTAACATTAATAATAAACATTGATTAACTAAAAATAAATTTAATAGTGATAAAGTTATTAATGATTTAATCTAATTTTTTAATGTTAAATTAGATGAATAAAAAATTAATCAATGCTTGATTAAAATATTTTGTTAAAAGTAATTATAATTACCTTATGTATATTAATAAACAATAAATTATTAATTAATGAGTATACATGTTAATTTTTTTAATTATTGATTTATTCATTTAATAACTTACTAATAATGATTAATATAATTAAAGACAATAGCACATTAAATTAAATTGAACTAATAAATTTAAATCCTCACAAAAAATTTGTCAAACAATTTCATAGACTTACACAAATTTATTTAATCTCATACAAAACAATTTCTAGGATTAAACCACCCTAATATTTACTCCATCTTACTTGAGTTAAATTCCAAAAGCTATTAAGAAACTCCTAATGGTTGATGGAAAACTTTTCTTAGATTTCAAAAAATATGGAACCTATAAATGTATATTGATGAGACAATGACAGGAGCAAAAAACTTACCAACCAACTTATTAATCTATCCAAGGTATTATCACACTGATGGGTTTAATATGAAGCTCAACCCCTCCAAATATTTGTTTGTTGCTTAATCTAGAAAATTCCTCCACCATATGCCTATGAAGTATGGCATTTCCATTAATCTCAATGAAGTCTTGAGCGGTCTTATAGGCCAATCCCCTACACTTCATTAAATATGTTTGTAAGCTAATTGTCAAGCTGATAAATCTTAGTCACTTTATTTCTTATTTGGGCATGTGGAAATCACTACATATAAATAGTGAACCCTCTTATTTCTCTCAAATATAATTAGAGGAGAGATTTTTTATATTTACTCTGATAGTATTAAAAAAAATTTATGATTGAGTGTTCATAAAACTAAGAAGATAAGCCGAGTAAAATGTAGGAGAAGGCGATAAACATATTAGCTTTACTTTTATATAGATGAAAATGTATATTATTTGGTCAAAACCAAGAAACAAACTACGCTAACCACATTTGTTTGAATTTATTCAGTTTGAAACAATGATTTTAATATTATTTTGAAATATTTTATATTGGATTTTGTGAGTTTTGAATACTCCTTTTCTCATATGAATACATAGATAATTCACCTATAAATAGGCGAGTACAGGAAATAGAAAGAGGAAAGAAATCTTCCTACAATTAAGTAATTCCTATAATTACGGAATAAATATAAATACCTATAATTAAGGAATTACCATTTTTATACTATGACTAAATATAACAAGTACTAAATAGAATTAAAGTAAATAATAAGGAGCGTAACTCCACCATGCCCAACTTGTTGGTTAGCTCATCAAAACTGGACTTAGGGAGAGCCTTGGTGAGAATGTTTGCGGTTTGGTCTCTAGAAGGAGTATAGACCAATTCAATGATTTCATTGTCCAACTTCTCTGAAATGAAATTCCGATCAATCTCAATGTGTTTCGTTCGGTCATGATGAATAAGATTCTTTGACTGATTGCTGCTTGATTGTCACAGAACATCTTGATAGAATTTTCTCCCATAATTCCAAGCTCCTTGAGAAATCTTTTGATCCACATTCCTTCACAGATACCAAGCGCTAGTGCTCTGTATTCTGCTTCTGCACTACCCCGAGATACTACCGATTGCTTCTTGCTTCTCCATGTCACTAGATTGCCGCATACATACGAGCAATACCCAGAGGTTGATCGTCAGGTGGATATGCCCAGTCAGCATCAGTAAAGACTTCTACCTTTTGACTATCATTCATTTGGAATAATAATCTTTTCCCAGGTGTCATCTTTAAGTATCTTAAGATACGGTTGACAGCTCCCATATGTTCCTTAGTAGGACAGTTCATGAATTGACTTACTATACTTACTGAAAAATTTTTGTCTGGTCTGGTGTGGGATAAGTAAATAAGTTTTTCAACAAGCCGCTGATATTGTCATTTGTCGACAGGTAAACTATCATTCTCCATTCCAATCTTTTTATACGGGTCTATTGGAGTGTCTATTGGTTTGCATCCAAGCATATGTGTTTCTTTCAGTAGGTCCAATGTGTACTTCCTTTGAGTTACGGCTATCCCTATTTTGAATCTTGCAACTTCCATTCCCAAGAAGAACTTCAAGTCTCCGAGGTCCTTGATTTCAAATTCATGGGCTAGAAACTTCTTCAGCTTTGTCAATTCTTCAGTTTGATCACCGGTAAGAATGATGTCATCAACATACACAATAAGTACAACAATCTTCTTCTCATATCTTTTTGTGAACATTGTATGATCAGTCTGGCTTTGAGTATAACCGCACTTAATTACTAAATTGGTGAATCGGGCAAACCAAGCACAGAGAGATTGTTTAAAACCATACAGAGATTTCAGGAGCTTGCATACTGTGCCACTAGGGAAGGACCCTTCAAGACCAAGCGGTAAATTCATGTATACATCCTCTTCAAGGTCTCCATTAAGGAATGCATTTTTGACATCAAGTTGCATAAGAGGCCAGTCTCGGTTTGCTGCAATGGAGAGTAGGATTCTAATGGAGTTCAGTTTGACTACTGGGGCGAATGTCTCTTGGTAGTCAATTTCGTATGACTGAGTATAACCTTTTGCAACAAGTCGGGCTTTTAACCTATCTATGCTTCCGTCTGCCTTACATTTGATTGTAAATAACCACCTGCATCCTACTGGTCTCGTATCCTTAGGCAAATCAGCCAAAATCCACGTTCCACTCTTTTCTAGTGCAACAACTTCTTCATTCACAG